GATGTTCTATCTACTGGTGGTATTACCGGCTTCCTGCTTAAACTGGAGGCAAGGTATTAATTACTTCGGTAACTTTTCTTCTTTGCTTTGTTTTCGGGCTGCCCACCTAAAAATGACTTTCATGTTTTAGGAACGATCGGTGGCCAATTCGGTGGCTTCATCTAACCTCATCAAAAAATTGAGTTCATTCTCTCTTGCACTCAGCCGCCGCCAAAACTCTTCAACTCACGAATGCCTCTTAAAAATGCTACAATCACACACGCTTTGCGCTATCAACCGCTTCCAGTCAACAATTTACGATCAAGTAAGTGATTCTCCACATTGCCTCCATTGCTCGTATCTGTGTGGGTGTGAGTGTGCATGTATCGCGCAGCCAAGTGGGGCTCCAGGCCGCCACACTGACTAACACACCAAGTGGCTATTCATTCGAGTATCTGAGTACGTGGAGATCGGTGGTTCGGTACGGTTATATGAATTTCAACGTTGCGGCAAAACGACGCAACAACAACAAAAACCAAAGAAAAAAAAACAGCAAAGCAAATAACTATAGAACGAACGAGAGGGTGTGGGCGTTAGACGTGTGCGATAAGAAACTACAAACGTCCATACATCGTTGCATACTAAAAATATATATATGTATGTAGAAAAGAACGATTGAGCGGAGTGCGGATAAAACAAAAACAGTGCTGGTAGTACCTGGCTAGTAGTGTTGGTGTTTATGTGCGCGCATGTTTTTAGTTTTCAAAGCAGCTGACGTGCAAAAAATACAAAAAAAAAAAATTAAAATTATTGAATAAATAAATAAAGTAAATAAAAATTGTTTCAAGTTGAAAGTGTTCAAAAGCCATACACCAAAGCGAATTGAAATCAAGTAAAGTAAAAAAAAGCGTAAGCGTATAGCCAATTGAGCAGCAGCGGTCAACAGCGTATAAAATAATTTATCGAAAATCGCATAAATCGAGGCGTTGGATAATTATTGCGTACGTGTTATATACAATTTTGGTTGGTGTTTAAAAAAAAAGAAAAAAAAAAAATTTTTATTTTAGTTCTTATTGTATGCAAGTATATATGGTAATGAGCGAAATTGTGTTGTTGTAAAAGCAGTGTAATACACGGCAGTCTTGTAAGTTTGGTACATATAAATATTTTATGGTTTATTTTTGCGCTCGTGCAAATGACGTAATGACCTTGTGTGCTGTCATTACCGCTGCCGTTGTATGCGGCGTCGACTGTCACTGTCATTGCTGTCTCTTTGCTTTTGCATGTAAATACGTACGTACCTATGTATGTTTAGTATAATAAATAATTAGTTTGCAATTGGTATAAAGATATTTATCAAACTTAATTTTATGTACATATGCAGCTGTCTCGCTAGCTTTTCGAGTTATCAATATTCGGTATTATGTACACCTCTGCACAAAATAATAGTGATGTTTTTTTTATAAATTGTTTTCCATTCATTTATTTTTTATTTAAATTTAGTTATTTTTAAATAAAAGTATAGTTTAATTGGGTTATGTTATACTATATAAATCAAAGCATCAACGTTTGTGTAAAATCCGCGAAAATTAAACAAATTGTCAGCAAAAATTTGCGAACTTGGAATTAGACTCAAAGAGTCAGGCTGTTGGAGAGCACTGCCGCACGGTCGTCGTGGTATTCTTGACAAGCTTGTCGAATTTTTGAAGCAATGAGGCTCCTATATAACTCCTACGATAGCTTTCAAAAAAAAAAATTTAGCTGAAGTTTCCTTTTAGATGGTATTGGAGCAGGGATAGGATAGTCGAGGAGTATTCCACTAAAATCTATACTGGCGGGTCCAAAATGGACTGAAGTGTGGATGTTCTCTGAGATGTTGAATGTCTCTCTCTCGTTCCGAAGTCGTGAAAATCGGGAGGGCCTGCAAAGCGGAGATGGAAAATCAAAACATCAAATTGTACTTAATTTTTGGAAAAAGTGTACCGAAAAACTGACGAGTGTTCCTAAAAAAATACAACAGGAATCTTCCTCGCTTGATTTTGGAATTCACCTTCTGTAATACGTTAAGCTCTGTTCAAACTGGAAGAACATTTCGGGGCCCAACTATATACCGTATGTGTCCACAAATACAAAACCGGTTTCAGACGGTCTGAAAATACTACTGTATTTTCGCGAGTTAGTCTGCACAGACCGTCTGAGAAGACTAGTGTGTCGAGGTTCATTCGTCCCATTTAAAAATGGGCTTGCACTTATTTCACATTTAAGTCAATTACATTTGAACTTTTCGAGCCTTTACTCAAGAAAGAAGAAAATTGGTTTAGAGGTGACTGAGGACAGCATTACTTCGCATACATTTTGCCATTTTGGGTTAGCGGCCATAGGAACTGACAGGTCTAATGAATTGGTTAAAACCAGATCATCTCTTGATGATTACGAAGCAGGAACTCATCAAAACGGAAATGAACAACCTTCAAACCTGCAAAACTTCGAGATATATATGGACTCATTATGGCAAATGAAAGACAGAGGAACTTTTAAAGCGGTCGACGAACTTCGTAGCTCCTAAATAGTTACCAACGTAAGGCTATCGTTTTAACGCCATAGGTAATTACATTATTTGGGAGCTAGCGTATAGATAGCTGACCTTGTAAGTACATTGAATCCTAGATATTCTAGAGGGGTTTCTAAATAACACTTACTAAGGATATTTTTTTTCCAAAAAAACCAGCACCGAATAGCCAACACAAAATTTCGCATGTTACATCCAGTCCGGGTTAAGTAAAGTTTTGGGAGAGGAGCTCAAAGAAGGGCTCACTTTGAAATTAATTAAATTTTCCATTGTAAAATTCCTTGAACGGTAGCTACAGGTAATCTGTGTTAGGTTAAGAGAAGCGCTGGGTGCTTAAAGCTGATGTCTACTTCGGAGAGTTGTGTTCAGAAGTGTTGATGAAATATGCGCCGAGGTGTTTGAACTTTACTCTAGCGAATGCCAACCAACTGAGAAGCAAGTGCTGAGATGATTAAACCTCGTTCTACAAGCAGCTGCTGCAGTAGGAGTCCGTAACGATCCACATGGATTGCCAACTGCAGAAGCCCCCTTGACTGTCTGCGGTCAACAACGGTCAGTAGGACCCTGTAACTTTGTGTAAGAGGGTATTGGTCCAGCGCTCGCATCAGCCGACTGTAAGCCCATCTGTCCAGGAGAAGACCGAAAGTTGGTAAAGGAACTCCTATGTCCTCACTGTCCGAGGTGAACCCTGCCTAGCCAAATCATCTGCCCTAAATTTCGTGGCGATTGAGATAGAGGTGAGGCGTCCCCCGACCAATTTCAGATATCAGAGTAGATATTTTACCCTCTAATCGGCAAAACGCTGGTGCATCTTGTGGGATTTATAGTGACCCTCTTTGCCTGACACACGCAGCAGAAATGCGTCAGCCTTAACATGCCATTTATTGAGAGTTACCGACAGAAAACACCACCTCTAACTTAGCTATTCAGCTTCGATCCATTCGTTAAGGATATTAATTGGACCTCTACTACAGAAGCTGCCATTCTCCCATTCGCCTCGTTGAGGGATGTGTGCGGAGAAGGATTCGTTCGAGGTCCATTGTTACTAGTTCTGGTACTTAGAAACAAAATTGTTATTAAAAAAATATAGCCAGGGGCAGATTATTTATGACAGATTCTGACCAAACCCAAAAAAGCACAATTTCAATCAAGAAAACGCATCCAAGTCTGGATTAAGCGAGGTTATTGTGAGATTACAAGGTCATTAGGATTAAACGGTTTGTGTCGATGTCAGACCTCATCTTAACCAAAACATTCGTCAAAGTAGGTGATTAGAACGATGTCTTAGTGTCTCAAAAACTAGCCAATATTATCGAAAAATATTTAAGTTTCATATTAATTATCACGGTGTGTTTATTAGCGTCTCTTTTGTGGCTTTTCAACAAAACAAAATAAAACGAACTTAACATTGTCGGCAATTTGAGTAAAAACGCAATTGAGCAAGACGTGAAAAAGTGTTAAATGCTGTTCTAGACACATAGCCAGTGAGTGGTGTCGCTTGGCAATGTTAAACAAATTAAGTAAAAATAAATAAAATGCAATAAAATAAAGTATAAGTATACCAATATACAATATGTAGGTCCCAAGTTTCCACATTAAAGCAATAAGTGATTTTTATGTAACCTGTTAGTAGGTGCCACAAAAAGAAGCAACTCGAAGTTAAGCAGTTAACGGAGCCAACTAAGTAACAGGAAAAACCTTTCTGTCTTAACTAGTCACACAAACCGCCGACCGCTAGGCGGAACCGACATAACTACAATAGTATATGCTTACATGCATACAGTGATGGTCAAAACATATGGAGCTACAACCAAAATTTGTGAAAGTCTAGCCAATATTTGTTTTTAAGGTAAAAACTGTGTGTGAATGTGACAAAATACTTAATTTTTTTTAGTAAAAAATTACATTTTTATCACAACACAGAGTTAAAATACCTAGCTAATAATTCAACGGTGAAAAAATATGGAACAAAACTGCAAAGGATACAATTTGATATATATTACAACCTGGTGGGTCTCATATCTGAGAACATTTGATTATTTCTAGAGAAATTGACAACTTATTTGACAGCTGTCAAAATTTTAATTTGACACAAAACTCGCAATCGGCGTGTCTGAAAATCTAACAAGTAGCATTATAAGAAATCGTTTTTTTTTCAGAAAAATGGCAGTCCATTTGACAGCTTTCAACTGACAAAGTTTTAGTTTAACACAAAATTCGTGATCAAATACAAGTAGTAAAACATTCGATGGACCTCCAAAAGTTAGCTCTTATTTTTAACTTATGCCTAAGTAGTTTTCGAAAAAGTCGAAAAAATTTTGTAAAAAAATTTAAATAAAAAAATTAAAGGTTAAGTCCTTTTTTCTCTGCATAGCGAAACCGTCGTCTGTACGGTAAGAACTTCTTCTCAGAAGTTCCCTGCGATCTTTCAGTGAAAGTCTCTTTTACGCTTTGAAGAAAAAACAAATGTTTTTTTTTTCGAACATTAGATCCCGCGAGCCAAAAATACGGATTTAACATTACTGTTATTTCAGGCAGTGGCGAAAAATACGCAGAGTTGCTTAACCTTGTCAGGGTTCAATAGTAAAATTGAGGATATGTCTTAAGCGAATAGTAATTTTTGAAGATTTGAAAGTGCAATGAGCCAACTCAATGTAATTGTTTAAGCAAGTTATGGGAGCAGCGTTTCCCAGATAATCCGTTGATAGGATATACATAGATAGTTTTAAACACGTAGATTTAGTTCCATATGTTTTGCCCACCACTGTACATGCGTACAGTTTTCCGCCTTAAAAAGAAAAAAAAAACGAAATGAAACGAAATAAAATACAACCGTATAAAAAACTGAATGACAAGTTATAGGAATAAAGATAAAAAACGCACGCATATGTATATAGATAATCGCACCATATGAGATGTCAACCATTGCCAGTATCATCAACACCAACAACACCAACAACAGCCATAATAATAAAAACAATAATAGCAAAATAATACCAAAGCAATACAACAACAATATTAATTAAGTCAGACGCAGCTGCAACAACAACAACCACAGCAACACCAACAAAACGAATCAATATAAAAACAAGTAAGAAAGTCTAAGTTCGGGCGGAGCCGAACATTAAATACCCGGCGCAAGTATTAAATATATGTTTTCCACTTTTCCGAAAGCTACCGCTACATGATAAGCCGGGGTGTATACATTTTAAGTAAATTAGCGTCCTTAAATTTCGAAATATTGAAATTTCAAGCATATCTGAAAATTACCGTTATATGAAAAGCGGCCTCAATTTTAGTCCGATTTCAACCATTTTCAACGGTTTGCTTTTATGTGGCAAGCACAATAACCATACCGAGCTTGGTACAAATTGCTAGAACGGTTAGCGAGATACATATATGTGATCACAAGTGGGCGGTGCTACGCCCATTTTCCAAAATTTTGTCATAAACGTATTTCTTGGTAAAGAATTGTTGCGATCATCAATTTTGAATAAATTAGCTTCAATATTTACTGATTTATCGAAGATTTTGTATTTCTCGAAATTACCGTTATATGGGATGTGGGCGTGGTT